ACATTCACTCCCCCCACAGCATGGGCCCAGGCTTGAACCTTCACTCCTTCCAAAGTGTGGACCCAGGCTCGAACCTTCCCTGTCCCCGCGGTGTGGTCCCAAATTGGAAACTTTACTCCACCCGCATTGTGGACCCAGACTCGAACCTTCACTTCCCCCCCGCAGTATGGGCCCAGGCTTAAGCATTCACTCCCCCCACGCAGTGTGGGCCCAGATCGGAACCTCTACTTCCCTCCACAGGGTGTGCCCAGGCTCGAACCTTCACTCCCCCCGCAGCGTGGGCCCAGACTGGAACCTTCACTCCCGCCGGCAGTGTGGGCCCAGACTGGAACCTTCACTCCTCCCGCAGTGTGGGCCCAGATCGGAACCTTCACTCCCCCCACAGGGTGGGCCCAGAGTCTAATCTTCACTCCCCCCCTGCAGTGTGGGCCCAGATCGGAACCTTCACTCCCCCCTCACAGTGTGGGCCCAGGCTTGAACCTGGGGGCAACAAAGCAAGGTTAGCTGACCTCCTGTGTCTCCTCTTCCACTGTGAATAAGACGCACCTTCGGATTAATGATTTGCCTCCTCTTCCTCAGAATGCGGCCTTCAGACCTCCATGAGCAGAATTGTCGGGGGAACCAATGCCACTGAGGGTGAGTGGCCGTGGCAGGCGAGTCTACAGATCAGTGGCCGCCACATTTGCGGGGGGATTCTCATCCATGAGAAGTGGGTACTGTCTGCAGCCCACTGCTTCGTTAGCAGGTAGATCCGTAATGTCGTCCAATTGTTCAAACAGCTGGCGTTATTCCCAGTTTACGGGCATGAGGCAGTTTTGCCTCGCCACCTCATCATCAGCTTGGAATTCAGTTTCACGTTAGATGAATGTTCATGTGCTTTAATCATTAAAATTGCTTTCTGTGGCTCCTCACAGGTTTGCACCACCCGACCGTTGGACTGTTGTCCTGGGTAAGTTCAAGCTTGATGTTGTCAGCTACCACCAGCTCACCTTCACGGTGGTAAAGATCATTTCTCACCGGTACTACGATGAAGACACCTATGACCACGACATTGCTCTACTTCTGTTGGACCAACCCGTGCCCATTGCGCCATTCATATACCCCATATGCCTCCCGGCTAGCACACACGTGTTCGAGACAGACAGAACATGCTGGGTAACCGGCTGGGGCACAACTGAGGAAGACGGTACGTGGCCCCTGGGGGTTAGACTTTCTGCGCGGCCTTCGTTTTGTGTGGGTTTTTGCTGCTCCGTTGAAGATCCAGGGGTTGTATGTCTTGCAGGATAAATACATGTACACAGTACGGCTCAGTCAGTTCGATGGGTGGTTTGCAGTGCAGAGCGATACAAACAGCATGGGTCCAATCCTTGCACTGGCTGAGGTTACTGTGAAGGATTGTCTCCTTCTCAACCTCTCTCCTTACGTGAGACGCGGTGACCCCTCAGGTTAAACCGCCACCAGTCATCATCGAATCCCTACAGTGTGGAAGCAGGCCATTCAGCCCATCAAGTTCACACCAGCCCTCCAAAGAGCATCCCACCCCGATATAGCCCCCTACCTTATCCCTGTGACCCTGCATTTCTCACGGCCGATCCACCCTAACCTGCACATCTTTGGACTGTGGGAGGAAACCGGAGCACCCGGAGGAAACCCACGCAGACGCAGGGAGAATGTGCAAACTCCACACAGACAGTCACCCGAGGGTGAAATCGAACCCAGGTCCCTGGCGCTGTGAGGCAGCGGTGGTAACCACTGTGCCACCGTGCCACCCCTAGATTGACTACAGTGGTCCAAGGAGGCAGCGCACCACTACCTTGTCAACGTCAAGGAGGAACTGGCTTTGCCTGTATCACAAACATCGTATTAAAGAACGAAATAAAAGAAGGCAGATCAGTGGAAAAAGGTACAGACGAGACATACTTAGTGGGAAAAGCTCAATGGATTGAATGTTCTTCTGATCCTAAATTCCTAATTTAACTGTTTTGTGCCACTATGGCCATGGCCGTGATGCTGGATTGTTGTAAACTTGAGGAGGACGGGAGGCTGTGCTGAACAATAAGAATCAAAGATGACCATTTCTCTATTTCTCGTAGGGTCAGCTGCAAATGTTCTCCAGAAAGTAGATGTCAAGTTGGTTGATCAGTCTACCTGCAATAAAGCGTATTCCTACACTATTACTCCCAGGATGATCTGTGCTGGCTACCCTGAAGGAAAAAAGGATTCCTGTCAGGTATTGTGCCTTGTTTCTGTCTTTGAACAAAGGAAAAGGCTGAAAAGGTGTAAAGCTGAATTTTCTTAGCCCTACACAATGCAGTTCGGGGAGATGGGTGACAGGAAAGCAGTGGAGGGCAGTGGTGGGTGGGTGCTGTTTCAATGTTCAGGAGAGTCAGTAACTAGAGGACACAGATTTAAAATAGTTACCGTATGATCCAGACGGCTGACTGAGCAAGTTTTTTTTTATATTATTCGTTCATGGGATGAGGGCGTGACTGGCCAGGCCAGCATTTATTGCCCAGAGAGCAGTTAAGAGTCAACCACATCGCTGTGGGTCTGGAGTCGCATGTAGGCCAAATCAGGTACAGATGGCAGATTTCCTTCCCTAAAGGACATTAGTGAACTACTGAAATTAGTGAATTTCTGAAGAAGGGCCCAGACCCGAAACATCAGCTTTCCTGCTCCTCTGATGCTGCTTGGCCTGCTGTGTTCATCCAGCTTTACACTTTGTTATCTCAGTGAATTACAGAGGCGTTTTTCCCCTGACAATCAGCAATGTATTCATGGTCATCGTTAGACACTTAATTCCAGATTTACGAATTGAAATTTCACCATCTGTCCCGGTGGGATTCAAACCCAGATTCCCAGAACCTAGATCTCTGAAGTCAGCAGAGCATGTGAATAGGATAGTTAAGAAGGCATATGGGACATTTGCTTTCATCAGTCGTGGCATAGAGTATAAGAGCAAGGAGGTAATGTTGGAACAAGAACAAAGTTGCTGGAAAAGCTCAGCAGGTCTGGCAGCATCTGTGAAGGAGAAAACAGAGTAAACGTTTCGGGTCCAGTGGCCCTTCCTCAGAATGTCGGAGTTGTGCAGCGCATTGGTCAGGCCACAAACTGGAATACTGTGTGCTGTTCTGGTCACCTCACTGCAGGAAGAATGTGATAGCTCTAGAGGGTTTACAGAGGAGGTTCACCAGGATGTTGCCTGGGACAGAGAAATTGAGCCATAAGGAGAGACTGGATGGGCTTGGATTGTTTTCATTAGAGCAGAGAAGACTGAGGGGGGACATGATTGAGGTATATAAGGTTATGAGCAGCATGGACAGGATGAATAGAGAGCAGCTGTTCCCCTTGGTTGAGGGGTCAATCATGAGAGGGCATAGTTGTAGGGTAAGGGGCAGGAGATTCAAAGGGGATTTGGGAAATAACTTTTTCACTCAGCGAGTGGTGGGAATCTGGAATGCACTGCCTGGGCAGTTAGTGGAGGCTGGAAACCTTACATCCTTTAAAAGATATTTGGATGAGCACTTCAAATGTCATAACATTCAAGGATATGGGACAAGAGCAGGAAATTGGGATTGGCGCGCCTTTAGTGGTAGATATGTCAGTGCAGACTTGAGGGGCCAAAGGGCATATGAAACAGCCCAGCAATAATACCACTAGGCCATTGCCTCCTTTTTGTTGTGATTTGTTGTGGTCTGGATGGCCCTAAAAGATTGGTTTGAAATAGATTCACTGATAACTTCCAGTATTTGGAAAAGGAGCAATCTTCAGGTCTGTGGAGCAGGAGTAACGGATGAATGGCCTCCTTAAAACTTTGTGAATCTAAGCTCATCAAATTCAGTCAGGGTGGTTACTGACTTTAGATCTTAACCTCAATAGATTAGGGCTCGGATAATCAGACACCATGTTTGTTACCAATCACCAGGCATTAAAAGGAGATACTGGATAAGACCAGCATTGAACTGCCTGGTAACAACCCCTTTGTCATCTACACTTGTGAACATTTTTGAAAGTTACTAATAGCCAAGCAACCAGTTACGCATCCCTTCCAAAAATGTTTTTATAAAGTGCTGGTTAAAACAAAAGTTACCACCACTCCCATTGGGACTTCATGTCCCTCAGAGAGAAAAGGGCATCCTATTCCTTTATTAAAATACAGTAACTTTTGTTTTAACTAGCACCTTATACACCAGCACTCTCGATAAACCAGCAAAAATTATATACCTCAAATAGCGCAATTATTCTGTACAATCATTATAGCTTTAATTTATTTACCTCAATATAAATACACTTGTTCAATTGAAATGCCACATGAAGTATCAACAGTTGATTCAGTTTTGAGTTAATTTCTCCTCAAACAGCGCGATCTGCAAGTGGTCAGTTAGAGTACAAAAACAGAAATTGCTGGAAAAGCTCAGCAGGTCTGGCAGCAGACTTGGCGCTGAGGTACTTAATGAGCTACATAAGGTCAGGTGACCAAAGATCAGTCAACGAGCAACTTTTGATGAGCATCTTGAAGGAGGAGAGAGCTTTGCTGAGGGAATTCCAATGCTGTTGACCTAGCCAGCTATAGGAATGACCACAGATGATGGAGTGATGAAAATGGGATTTGAGCATGAGGTCAAAATGAGGGAAGGCATGGAGATCACAGAGGGTTTGGGGCTGAGGTAGATGGGAATAGAGAGATGTGGGGATCGGGAGCAGCAAGACTGTAGAGGGTTGCCAACTCAAGAATAAGATTTTTGAAACAGAGATGTTGCCAGAATGGGAGAGATCACAGTTTGGCAAGCGCAGGGGTGATGGGTGAATGAGATTTGGTGCAAATTAGACTCTGTGTCATAAAATCCCACAATCAGTCACAATAATGCAAAAATTGTTTCCAAACCTTGTGGGACAACAGTCAATGCTGTAAAAGTTATTCAGTATGTCTGTCAGCACTTGTAGGGGGAAAGCAGAGTCAACATTTTGAGTCTGGTGACCCTTCACCAGAACTGATGAATTTTGCCAGCAATTTCTGTTTTTGTTTCAGATTTTATTACTTTTGGTTATTGATTGTAACCATGTTGCCACGTGATAAAATGCAGCTGGTAACTGTGTGCAGCCCACTAGCTCATTTCTGGGAATATGTTCTTCTCCTTGAATGAGAGACAATACTCAAACTTGTTTGATTTTAATTTTCCTTGTTTTTGTATGTCATTTAGTTTAGGAATTGTCTAATGGTCATTCCTTTTTTAAGCTGAGACATTTTGCTTATTTCTCATTATCCGACATAGTATGTACCTTCATCTGTCACTTCTCCACCGCGCCCTCTCTATCTCTTTTCTCTGTCTCAGGTTAATCTTTGGTTCACTTCATGCCTACCGAACAGAGGGGTGTATGTGGAGCCCTTTCTGTTTCAGGTAGCCTATCTCATCAACAGATCGCATTTGAGTCAATTAAATGCAAAGTTAAAGCTCCTCTAGCCTATCACAATTAATGCCCTAACCTCAGTAATTCATATACCAACAATCTGACTGGTATTGTCCACACAACCTGTCCAACACTTTGAATCAATCATAGAATCCCTACAGTGTGGAAACAGGCCCTTTGGCCCAACAAGTCCACACTGACCCTTGCAGCAACCCACCCAGACCCATCTCCCTATAGCCCACACACCCCTGAACACTATGGGCAATTTAGCTTAGCCAATCCACCTAGCCAGCACATCTTTGGACTGTGGGAGGAAACTGGAGCACCCAGAGGAAACCCACGCAGACACAGGGAGAATGTGCAAACTCCATACAGACAGTCGCCCGAGGCTGGAATTGAACCTGGGTCCCTGGCGCTGTGAGGTAGCAGTGCTAACCACTGAGCCACTGTGCCGCCCCAAAGTGAGTCACTTTGTTCTTGTGCTGAACAAGGGGCATATTTATAATACAGGCTTTTGCTGGAACTCTTATATGCCAAGAGAAAGGAAAGACCCATTAGAAAGAACCCAGGTTACCAGAACATTAGCCAAGGCACCTCAATACCACAATACCACCACTTCCTCAGGGAAACTTGTAGATTGTGGTGTTCCCGTTCTATCTGCTGCCCTTGTCCTTCTGGGGGTAGGGATCATGGGTTTGGAAAGTAATGTCAAAGGACCATTGGAGAGTTGTTGCAATGCATCTTGTAGATGCCACTGTGCATTGATGATGGCGGGAATGAATGTTGGAGGTTGGTGGATGGATGGATGCCAAACAAGTGGGCAGCTTTTACCAAGATGCTCAGATGAGGCACCAGAAGACCAACAGCCACAATGGAATTGTAATTCTGTGCCAGTCCACGTTCTGAGTTGAAAGAATGAACAGAGAGACTGTAGAAGGAGAACAAATATTAAAAACAATGAAAGTATGATACAAAAACAGGCCATTTGGCCCAACCAGTCCATTCTAGTGGTTCAACACAAGTCTTCTCCCAATCATGAGATAAGGAATAGGCAGCATTTATTTGCTCAGAGGGCAGTTAAGAGGCACATTGCTGTGGGTCTGGAGTCACATGTAGGCCAGACCAGATAAGGATGGCAGTCTCCTTCCCTAAAGGACATTAGTGAACCAAATGGGTTTTTCTGACAATCGGCAATGTGTTGATGGCCATCATTAGACACTTAAATCCAGATTTTCTTTTCATTGAATTCAAATTCAACCATCAGCCATCTTGGGATTCGAATCCAGGTCCCCAGAACGTTATCTGAATCCCAGGATTACCCAGAACTGTGGATCAGCCGTAAATCAGAAACAAAAGCAGAAATTGCTAGTCTGGCAGCATCTGTGGAGAGAAATCAGAGTCCACTGGACCCCAGATGCTGCCAGACCTGCTGAACATTTTCAGCAATTTCTGTTTTTTGTCTCTGGATTAACAGGCCAGTTATGAGGCCATTTTCCTGCCCCACCTCACCCAATCCATCAATGCTCCTGTTTACAAAATTGGAACAGCAACAATTCCAATTGATGAACTTCCTCTTTGCCTACAGGGTGACTCTGGAGGGCCGCTGGTCTGTGAAGAGGCGAGTGGGCGGTGGTTCTTGGCTGGAATCGTGAGCTTCGGTTACGGCTGTGGCCGACAGGAATACTATGGCGTGTACACGCGGGTGACCCGACTCATCGATTGGATTAATGCCAATATTTCATAACCATGGCGGAATCCGAGAGGTTTGGGACGTGTAAGGCAGCCAGAGGCGCTCATACTGCTCACACAGGACTATCAATCGGGAACCAGAGATTTCGGCAAATGTTCCAATGGTGTCGGCCAGGGCGTTGAGATGTTGTTGAAGTCTTCTCTGTAAATAAACCAAGCAGCCAATGAACCAGCCCTACACACACACACGCGCGCGCACGTACACACACACACACATACACACACACACACATACACACACATATACATGAGCTGCCTGAGCTGGTTGCACAGGCATTTAATAGGGTCAAGAAGGGATGGGAGGTTTAGCAATTATATTCTTGCGAGGCTTGTGTTATTCGGGACAGTATCCAGTGAGATGTTCTCCTAGCAGGCAGTAATACGGGAATTAGATCATGTCTGATCTGTATCTTAACTCCAACTAACCACTTTGCTTCCATAACCTTTAAGCTGTAGCCTACCCAAAATTTATCAATCTCAGTTTTCACTTGCCCACATCCCTCACTCCAGCCAACAGCTTTTGTTTTGCGGAGGAAAGACAAAGAGCTCCTGATTTCCACTTATGGAAATAAAAAAAAGTTACCTGATCTCAGCTCTTTGTTTTGGTTCCCTTGTTCTGTATATGCCCTAACTGGATGAAACAGTTTCTTGCTGTCTACCCCATCAACTTTTTGTCATATTCTTTGAATCTCAATTGGGGTGAATACCTCAAGAATCCTTCCAAACCTGTGGCCTCCTGGCATTTGTTCTGAAATCTGAGACTTTTAAAATTTTGTTCTGGGTCGCTCGCTGGTTCCTTCAGATCGAATCAAGATCATAGAATCCCTACAGTGTGGAAACAGGCCCTACGGCCCAACAAGTCCACACCGAACCTCAGAGCATCCCACCCAGACCCATCCCCCAATAGCCCACCTAAGCTACACATCCCTGAACATTGCGGGCAATTTAGCATGGCCAATCCACCCTAACCTGCACATTTTGGACTGTGGGAGGAAACCGGAGCACCCGGAGGAAACCCGCTCAGACACGGGGAGAATGTGCAAACTCCACACAGATAGTCGCCCGAGGGTGGAATCAAACCCGGGTCCCTGGTGCTGTGAGGCAGCAGTGCTAACCACTGAGTCACCATGCCGCCCCAGAAAAAAATGAGTGGATTTTTCCCGGCCGGGATCAAGAGGAATGAGAGAATGGCTTGTATTATTGAGAGGAACGGCTCTAACAGACACTTCTGGTACAAAGCAGTTGCTGCTGTACCAGTTCATTATTTTCGTACAAACAAATTAATTAGGAGGACAAGTAGGCCACTGGGTCTACAACCCTGGTTCACCACACAATAGGATTTGATTGTGGCCTCGACTCCACTTTCCTGCTCTTCCCCCCCCATAAGCCCCACTAACCTTTGACTTGCTTGTTAGTTAAAAATCTATCTACCTCTGCCTTAACAAAGAAACATTAAACAACCCTGCCTCTGCTGCTCTCTGGGGAAGAGAGTTCCAAAGCCTCAGAGCCTGATGAGAAGATTTTTATTTTCACCCATCTTTATTAAGATACCTTACACAGGGTCCCCTTGCATTGCTGTTTGGTGCAGGTCAGATTAATGCTCAGTTGTTTCATTCCACACTCTTTGCCCCAGTCTGTGCAACTTACTCCGCTTCATCCAACCATTGACTGTCAAAAGACTTAGCTGAGAGGTAAATGCTAAGAAGAGCCTAAAAGGGGTGAATGTACCAGCGGGGGCTCAGATCTGTCGTGAGGTGGTGGGCTTCCATTCTCATTTCAATGCCTTAAGCACAAAAATCCAGCCTGACGCTCCAGTGCAGTACTGAGGGAGTGTGGATTTTTGGATGCAATGTTAATCCCTGAGCCCTGACCTGCTCTCTCAAAGAGCTGCCGACGATCCCATGTCACAATTCATAGAAAAGCAGGCGTTCCGGCCAATATTTATCTCTCAAGCAACAACAAAAACATCTTGTTAATCTGGTCTATTTGTGGGAAATTGGCTGCAGGGTTTCCTCTCTGACGATTCAAAACTGCAGAAGTATTTAATTGGCTATAAAATACTTCAGGACATGGAAGTCTTTGTGTAAAGGCAAGTTTTTTTTTTGCCTAGATTCATTGGACGGGGTATGGACTTTGATTTTTGCATCTCCAAAAATGGGAAGGCAATTGCCAGTCCATTAATCCAGTGACCAAGGAAATGTTCTGAGGATCTGGGTTCAAATCCCGCTGCGGCAGGTGTTGCAATTTGAATTCTAAAAAACGAAATTAAAGAGGGATACGGGCCAGAAGCAGGCAAGTGGGACTAGTTTAGTTTGGAATTATATTCGGCATGGACTGGTTGTACTGAAGGGTCTGTTTCAATGCTGTATGACTAATGATGACCTTGAAGCCATTGTTAATTTTCATTAAAAATCCATCTGATTCACTAATTCTCTTTAAGAAAGGAAATCTTCTGTCCTTATCTAATCCAACCCCAGCAATGCAGTTGACTTGTTACTGCCTTCCTGGCAATTAGAAATGGGTAGTAAATGCTGGCCTGGCCAATGACCCATAATCCTATGGATGAATATTTTAAAAATGCAGATTTTGAACCTTGTGATGCCATATGTTGATGCTTCAAATACGTTCTGTAAGCTGTTGTACCTCAATTCAACTCTCTTCTGGAACTGTACAGTGATACAGAACAGGAGGCCACTCAGTCCAGCTTTTTGAAAGAGCCACCCAATTAAACTTACTTCCACCCACTCTTCGAGTATTTATCCAACTCCTTTGTTTGAAACTTATTGAATCTGCTGCTGCCATATTTTCAGGCATTTTATCTGGATAACTTTTCAGTCACTGTTTGAAAGGAAACCTCCAACTGTCTTCTGCCCAATTACCTTAAATCTGAAGCTTCAGATTTCTGACAGACCTCAGCCCAAGGAAATAACTCCACAGAAACTAGTATCCCATCACCAAGTCACCCTTTATTGACAAACGCATAATACCTGACACTGGTCTGGCTTCCTCAGAGCCAGCTCTCAGAGTGAGCAGAACATCTGACACTCCTGTTTATATCTATCAGCCAGGGCTCCCTGATTGTCGGGCATTCCTCTCTGCCACCTGTGAGCCAAAGCTACGCTGATACTGTACAGGGAGGCATCGCATGTCAGCACCAAATCTCACTGGGATCAGAGTGTGCCAACGCCTCAGATGATAATTGCTACTTCTTCACTTCTCTAAAGGATATATCTTAGCTACAGCACTATTTCCAAGGCTGGCCCTTTCTCAATAGCAAATGTAAGGTGCTAGGATGGAGGCCAGGTTACAAATGAATTTTCTATAATAACTCACTATTCTAAGGAAAGACCTAAGCTCCGGTACAGACATGGGAGCCAGGGCACATTTGATTGCCCTCACTTTATGTTCCAACGAGTGTAACCCAGTCATGTTGGCTCTGTGGCCCAAGTAGGTTACACATATTTTTCCCTCCTAAGGCGTGCCCCCACCTTGGAGAAACATTTAAGCACTATGTCCCAAGTTCTCTAAATGCTCTTAATTAGTCTTCCCGGTCATTAGCACATCATCCAGATAAATGGCAACCTGTGGTAGACCTTGTAAAATATCTTCCATCGTCCGCTGGAAAATGGCACAGGCTGACGATGCCCCAAATGGCAGCCTCGTACATTGGTACAAAGCCTTATGGGAATTAATTGTAGCATATTTCTGGTAATCCTCATCTAATCACAATTGCAAGTACACAAGGCTCATGTTCAGCTCCATGAAGAACAGCAACCCACCCCCTCCAGTTTTGCGTACAAGTTTATTCAGCTGCAAACATCGATTTATCATTTGTTTGAAATCCCCACAAAAGTGAACTGACTGGTTGGTCTTCACAATCGGTACAATTGGTGCTGCCCATTCCGCAAACTA